GGGTGACCTGGACGTTCTTTGTCTTTCACATCGAAATCATCACTTTTAAAGCACTTAAACCAGCGTTCACAAGTATCTTGAGATGGAGCATGTTCACCATAAGCTTCCTGAAGTATTCAAAATAATGAATTAAAACTTCCCACAAATGCTTTTTTTTTTTTTTTTTGGCACGAAATTTGACATTTTTAAGCGTAAAAATATCTATGATGTTAACACCTTAGAAAATTTGACATATGAAGTTTTGAAGCTTGTTGTCAATACAACAAAATAGCACACACATCAAATCGCATATATATCAACATACGTGCTACTCCAGCTATTGAAAAACGTCTGCATTACACCTGGTAATGAGCGAATCCTTGTAAAGTCCGCTCTGCACAGGTTGGTTACCTTTCCGAGGGTAATTCTGAGTTGGGAAGGGCAGTTAGAGGAGGCCCTCCCTTCCATTTTACAGAAGAGGATAGAGGCCCAGAGAGGGTGATGGCTGGCCTGAGGCCACACAGCTGGCAGAGCTTGGATGCTGCCACTGTTTTTCTACTAAGCTGGCTCCCGGGAGGAAGGCACCAAGAATGGGTGAGCACAGCTGGGACACCCAGACTGGAAGTTAGGGGAGTGGGCTGGACACGGAGATGCCTCTTCTTACCCACATGCTGTGCTTGAACTTCCCGCCCCCCTCTCACAGCCATCACCTTCAGTCCCCCCCCCCCCCAAGTGACCTGCCAAGTAGGGAGTCCTGACTCCTTTACTGCTAAGGAGCTCCGAGCCCCAAGAGGGCAAGTGACTGAGCAGCCTGAACCTGGCTGCCTGAACCTGGCCAGGGTCTCTTTTGGTGTCTGAGTTGTGCCAGGTAGGCACGCAGGCAGATGAGAAATGGGGAGGGGTCAGGGATGACAAGGCCAACGAGCCCCCTGTAGGTCGCTGCTGCAGGGAAACTGAGCCCCAAGTGCCCATGGGGGTTGCCGAGGGAGCCTCTGAGAGGATGATCATTTTAATGAGTCCCCGCGGGGGGCAAAGTCCACATTCGCCTTTTCCAAAGTGTCTCATTTCCTGTGCACAGATGAGAGCATCCATCCTTAACAGGACCCCTAGAGACCTCCAAATCCACCCGAAAGGGCGTGTTGCTCGTGCTGGGATTTTAGACCATCAGGCAAGTAGGCAGGGGGCGGTTGGGAGGGTGCTTGTCTCTGTGTCACAGCTCCGAGATCCCCTGCCACCTGGCTTTGTCCCATTCTCATCAGCCCACCTTGTCTCTGCGTGGATGCTCCCAGACCCTCTGGCTCATAAAGGTTGAGGGCTGGCGGCTGCCATTTAAATGGTGGCTCATGTCTTTGTCACACTCTGAGCTCATCCTTTGGAAAAGACAGAAGAGACGGGTCTTTTGTTCTAATGAAGGTCACATCCCCCGTAGAGGGACCAGAGGGAGATCTGTTCCCATTGAGCTTCGACTCTGATTTGCTGTCACCTCCTGTGTGGCTGCCGTCTATTAGCGTTTTCACATCCATCCTGGAATCTCATTGTTCTAGAGTCTTCAGAAGGTTGGGGAGGGAGCAAGATGAAGAGGAAAGAGAGACCTGGGCTACTGTCCAAATACATGAGGTTTTGCTTTTTAGTTATCCTTTCGTTTTTGGATTTTTAGCTTAATTATACATGACCCACGATGCCAATTTCTTGAAATTTATTGGGACTTACATGATGTCCTTACCAACGTGTGCTGGAAAACAATGAGTCAGGTGCAGGAGTCTTTAGATACTGTTTGTGGTTTAGCTGTTTGTCCTTGTGTCTTGAGGGTTTGTGTGTTTTGTAATTTTGGATTATGAGCTCATGTTGAAAGGGTTTTATCTGTGAGAATCCCGTGTGGCCTCTACTGTGGGGCTGTCCCTCTGGGAGGCTTGCCTTTGGTACTGCCGCCTGCTCTGTGGGCGCCTTTTATATTAATTTCCAGACTTGGGAGTTCTAAGACCATGTGGTTAATGAAAACCCAGACCTCCAATTTGTGTTAGGGAAAGCCTAGAGGTACAATTTCCTACATGAGACTCTTTATTTTAGTTTTCCAAAGGAGCCGAAAGATGAGACACACAACTTTGACAACTTCTTCCTCTTTCTGTAAAAGGCAATCTTCCCCTCTTGTTTGCTCGTTCATTGAGGATATGGGTTCACCTTTATTTAGGCGTCTTGGTTCCAAATCTCCTTTGGCAAGGGCCCAAGGCCTTGCCTCCCATCCCTACATCGATATCAACCCCAAACTCCTTGGTTCCCAAGATCAGCAAAGGCCGACACCGCCCCACGCTGGTCCCCTGCCACCCACACGCCCACCAGCCAAAGGACCCGCCTCTGCTTGTCCCTCCGGTTCTGGCTTCCCTGGGTGTTCGGTACCTGGAGGTTTCTTTACTATCTTGGAGGTCAGTGGGTGTTTACTAGTAAGAGGTCTGTTACACTTTACCTAGTGTCCCGTACAGAGTATTTCTTCAGGAGGCTACATCCGCTGTGCCTGGAACCTGGGCTCCACTCCTGCCTCCGAGTGGCCTGGGAAGCCCACTGCCCCCCCACCCTGCCCTGCCGCCTCCTCTGTCTGATGGGGGCAGGTGGTGGTGGTGGTGGGGGGCTGGGTGTCCCAGGGGCCTCTGGACCCAAGCACCTAAGTCCCCAGTGGTGACCAGCCCTCTCAGGGCCGAGGTGCACCCGGGACAGTCTTCCTTAAAGGGACAGATGTCTCCAGCAGTGCCTGCGTGACGGGACCTTGTTCCGAGCCTCAATTCCACGGGTAAAAATCCTCCCCAGACCCTCTGCCTGGCTCACACTCCACGTGTCCCAAACCACTCACCTTCCTCCCAGGCTGGCTCCCCTGCTACAGCAGACCCCAGGGTGCTGTTAGAGGCCCCTCTCACCAGCACGCGAAGCCAGCCACCAAAGCCTCAATGTTCCAAACCTCCCTCGCTCTGGCCACTTCCGGTTGTCCCCTCTGCCTCAGCCCAGACCTCGAAGAGCTCACCAGAGTGACTCCAAGTCAGCGCCCTCACACCCGCTCTGATCAGAGGCTCCAAGTGCATGGCTGCCTGGAGGCTGGGGTGGGGGGCGTGGGCACCTGCCACTGCCTTCTGTCCCCACCGCTGTGAGCGGGGTCCTTGCGGAGCTCAGCCTGTCAGGGCCAGAGGCCTTTTTAAAAAAACATTAAAGTAAAAAATATCTTAGATTTATTGTTGACAGAATTACAGATGTCCCCCACCCCCTCCACGCAGCCCCCGCCCACCCCAGCCTCCCCACAGGCCTTTCTGCAGTGTGAGCTCGGAAGCCAGCAGCCTGAATGGGGGCACGGGATGGACACATTGCCTGGGGATCTGGCTTGAGGGGGTCGGCACCACCCTGATCCCCCTCTGCACTTCGGGCACAACTTGATAGGACAGAATTTCCAGCTTCTAAAAAATGACGCAGTAAGTGTGCAGAATTGTCAATCTCACCCCATCCCGACCCGTTCCTTACCTGCCCACTACTGAGCTTCACCCCACAGCTCACCTGTACCCGTGAGGCCCAGGAATAGGTGAGGCAAGGGGTGGGGGCCGGACAGATGCGTGTACCCCACGACCCATCCCAGTGGGGTGTTGTGGCGTCAGGCTTGCTGAGCTGTCTCAGGGTCTTGCCTGGCCCCCCTCACAAACCCTCCGGCCTCCATCACGAAGCTGCCTCGGTCACCCTCTTTCCCGCAACTAGTAACAGATGTAGCTAGGGACCGAGGGGGTTCTAACCTCAGGGCACACTCACCCGACAAAGGCCGTCCCCATGTGCTCAGGCCCAGAGAGCAGGGGGTCTGGGGCGAGAGGGGCCGGGAGAGAAGCCCCGGGGCCACCTGAGTGCCACCGAGTCACCTCAGGCAGGTGAGCTGATCGCTGAGGCCCTCCTGACACGGCTCCTCACGCCAGGCCTCAGGGGGATCAAGGGGGATGAGGGACCCAAGTGCTCCCGGCGCTTTGCGTTTGGTAGGTGCGCTGACAACTCATGGTTTTTGTTTTTGAATTGTAAAGAAGCCCTGAATGAGGATTGTGGACAAACCTGGGCCAGATGACAAGGGGGAGGCAAGGGGCGTGACCGGGGCAGGTGCCGAGAGGAGGGCCGGCCCTGACTTCATGGCTGGACTCCAGCCCCTCGTCCACCTTCCCACCTACCTGCCGGATCCTGCGGCCTGTGTCTAGGACCAGTCAGACAGGGCCAGGCTCCCTCCCTCGAGTCCTGCTGGCAGCTGGGGACAGGGAGGGACTGGGCCACAGGGCAGTGAGGGGCACCTGAGGGAACGCCTGGGGCAGGGAGGGAGCCGGCACCGGAGCAGGCTGCCAGGCTGAGGGGGCGGACAGGACCCTGAGAGTGGGGGGCTCTCTAGAGGCTGAGAGCTGGAGCCTTGCAGACGGGAGGTTCCGAGGAAGGAGGGCGGGTGGGACCTGCGGGGAGAGGAGATGGGAAAGGACGGGATGAGGGGGAGGGTGGCGAGGATCGGGGGAGGCTGGACGGGACACCCAATCGAGGCCTGGCGAGTGGATAGAGGGACAGCTCCTGGGCAGACCGCAGGCCTGAGGAAGGGGTTGCCCGGTGCTGCTTGTCAGGCCCACAGGCACCTGCGGGGAAGAGGGCTCGTCCAATCAGAGGGGCACATGAGTGCCAGGAGACACGTTTCTCCCAACCTCGTTATGAAAACATCGTGCCAAACTGGAGCCGCTGCACGGGCAGCCATGCCCCGCGCTGGGCTGCTCTGTCAGGCTCTGGGTGATAAGCTCATCGGGGACCCAGCCCACAGCCCCCTGTGGGTGATGCGGTTCCAATGGGGGGGGGGTGGGAAGCAGGGCAGTGGCGGACCCTCCATGTGCCTGCCTAGTTGGCATCCTCCAGGCTCCAGGAGGGGCAGGCACCGGTTCACCTGTGAGGAAGAGGGAGTCTGCTGGCGGCTGTAGCAGGAGGCAGGCCAGTCACAGAGGAAGAAAGGAGACGGACCCCGCAACCAGGGCCAGCCATCAGCATTGGAATGTGACAATTTATTCGGGGAGCAAGCTTTCCGGCCCCCTTCCTGGCACTGATACATCAAAGAGCAGCAGAACAAAACGTACGAGACGAGAGTAATCAGCACGAACCCCTCCCCCGGCCCAGAAACCACCGAATCCAGAACAGAACCAAAACCCACACCCGGAACAGGGAACAGGCTGTCTTCTCCCCACGCAGCCTCTGGGGCAGGGGCGGGGGCAGGTGGACGGGGACCCCTCATGCAGGGGGGACGTGCCCACTCCCCCGATTCCTCTCTTTAACCACCGGAGGCAAAGTTTAGCCAGCTGGGAGCTGGATGGCTGAACCACAGACAAAGGCAACAACACTTCATTTTTAAAATGAGAAAGAGAAAAGAGTGCCCCCCCAAATATAGAGCTATATACGTATACTTTATATATATAGAATTCATCCGTGCACAGTTCATTAAATGAGCTTTTCAAAAATTAAAAAAATTATAAGATACATTTCTTTAGGCCTTTGTTTTTAAATTAAAACCAACAAAAAAGAAGTCTCCATCTCCACTCTGGCCAAGGTAGGGGCGGGCCCCAGAACCGTTCCTTCCATGCTGGCCCCTTGTGAAGGGGTCCCCCGTCACACCATCAGCCCCCCTTTGCCTGGCGGAAGCATTGCACACAGTAGGGCTCACTCACTGTTGGAGTGAGGCGCTGACTCCTTGGGGGGGAGGGGACACCTGCAGGCCTGGGAGGGGGTTCCCAGTCCCCACCCAGCCTGCCCCATTTGGCCTCTTGGTGACTGTCAGCAGGATAGGTCAGGTCCGGCTGGGAGACCCTCTCCTGTAGTTTGAGGCCATGATTCTGGGCTTTCTGAATCTGACAGGAGATGCAGATAGAAAAACAAAAACCTTTAAACACTTTTGTTTAAAAAGTGATTCCTTAAACCATACAAGCCCCCAAGGGCTGCCTTGGGCTAGTGCATCAGGGGAGTGGAGCTGACAGGTGGGGCTCCACTGTCCGGGTGGGCCAAGTGCAAAATCAAACCAAACCCATGAGACGGTGTTCATCTGCCCCAGAGGTCAGGACGGCTGGAGCGGTCCCGCCTCACGCTCAGGCCCGAGCCAACACTTCCTACTCTGGGCTGACCCCTCACCCAGGACCCCTGGCTCCAGGGCCCAGGGCCCAGGATTTAAAGGGGCTTTAGAAATGCCAAAGGCCAGAACACTCCCATGCAGCATCCCTGCCTCTCGGAGCTCCCGTTTCCATAAATGGGGTGATCCCTCCAACCTGCCCACCTCAGTGAGGCTGGGGACTCGATCATCCTCTCTCCAGGGCAGAGGAAGGATGGAACTCATTGGGACCCTGACCCTTCTGCAGGTGAGGACAACAGGGGCTGTGGGAGGCTGGAGGCCCAGGGCCAGCAACCGTAACCACCACTCACCTAATCCCCAGACGCTGCCTGGACACCAGCAGTGCTTTCCTAAGAGGCCTTGCTCCCCATACACCCATTTCACAGATGGGCAAATGAGGGTCAGAGAGGGGAACAACACAGGGATGGCCCAACTTCCCATCTCAAACCAGAGACACCAAACCTCACCTGTTTCCTATGATATGTGGGTAGGAAGAGGTGGCATTAAGGGGACACGACCGATGCCCCAGCCAATACTTGAACATGGGAGATCAGCGATGGGGGTATTTCACATGTAAAAATAAAGCAAACCAGACTGCAACTTCTGCTTGGTAATTAGGCAAATGGAAAAGCAGCAAGGGGGAAGGGCCCATGGGAGGCTGATCCGTGCAAGCGTGTGTGGGTGCGTGGGGCCCTGCTCCCAGCCGCCCTGGGAGGGGGGTCAGCAGGGCTCTGTTTGCTCGAGACGCCGCCCACTAAGGCCCACCAGGGAGCTGCTCATCTCGGAGCAGTGAGCCCGCATGCCTCTGCACATGCCCAGGGGGGTGAGGCTGCAAGGCTAGGGGTCAGGGTGGCAACCATCCACCAGTGGAAAGAGAAGGGGTAGGCATGCCCTTCTCTCCATGCTAACCCCCAACCCCTTAGGGTCACCACCTAAGTCTCCCCGAGTCCGCAGCTCCTGTCTTCCTGAAGCCTGGTCCCCCTCCATGGCCAGGGGAGCACAGGAGGTCCTGGTCTTTGGGTGACGGGGAGACGTCCCCCATGGGGTGGCGGTGGGAGGGACCAGATGGCCCAACAAGGGAGGAACGGAGGAGAGCAAGAAACCCAACTGCACGGACTCACCAGCCTTCCTGGAGAGTCGCCAATGACGGGGCCCTGCGGCGGTGGGCCCCCTGTTGCCTGCCCCACCTCCCCAAATCTCAGCTCCATGTGCGTGGCCCTGCAGCTTCTGGCTAGTTCCCTTGGAACCAGCCAGCATCCTTTCCTTGGAGGGAGGACAGGCATGGGTCTGGGCCAGGCTCTCTCTGCCTCACCATGAAGGCGGGCAGCCGCCACAGCCCGCTGCCCTCCACTCCTGCCCTAACACTGCCACCTCAATGTGCAATCACTGCGTTACCAGTTTTTCTTTAAATATCTCTTCTCCCCTCCCTCCCCAACCCCATAGGAATCCCACAATATTTTTTTCTATTTCTTTTTTTTCCTCTTTTTTGTTTTTTGCAAAACTAGTTCTTTCACTTTCCTGTCATAAAATCACCTCTGAAAACACAACTTCTTTACAAAAAAGTCACGAATGACACAGACTCTCAGGAAAACACATTTCTATGGTCTGGAAACACCTGTAACTGACACCCCGGTGGTCGCTCACCCGGGGTGAGGTGTCGGGGGAAATCACCTCCAAGGACAGAGGAGAAAACCAGCCCTTATTTGGGGGAAGCCAATTGGCACTTGGACAGCCACAGAGCCAACACCAAGGGCAGGTGGGGAGGGTCCGGGAGTGCCAGCCCCCCAAACCCTCCGAGGGCCCTCGTCCTACACCCCGGGGTGGGGAGGGCCGGAGGCCTGGCTGTAGCCCCTGGTGGAGACTTGGAAGAAAGAGTCCTCCCACACGTTCTGTTCCCTAACTGGATTCCCTCCGCCTCCTCCTACCGTCTGCCATCATGCTCTGAGCTGACAGTCACCGCACATACCAGCGAGCTACACCGGCTCACGCAGGGCACAGGGCGTGCCACTCGCGCCAAACCGAGACAGCCAATGGCCCAGGGCTGCCCCCGACCCCCACGCACCAGATCCCTGGCCCTTCTGAAGAACACAGGCCTCCTCTTCGGCCCCCCACTTTGGCCTGCCTGTCCTAGTGTCTGGTTTAAAGCTGGGGCTTTGGTCTCTGCCACTGGCATGGATGCCTCCGCTCCCTGGCAGCAGAGGGAGAGAAAGCTGCCCAGGGCACAGGAGGCCTCCCGCTGCCTCGGGCAGGCTGCGCCGTGAGAAAGCCTCGGCGGTCAGCAGCAGACGAGAGGGGGCGAGAAGCTGGAGACCCGGAGAACAGCTCCAGGCTTCCTCCTTCCCCACAGCACCCAGGAGCAAGGGGACGCTCGGACGGGGTCTCCCTTCGCTACTTCAGGCCCCACCATGCCCTGTGCGCGGCCACGGAGGCCTGGCTGGCCAGGCTGACCACCCCACGGGAGACGGGCATGGGGATGCACGTCCCCAGCACCCCCAGGCCGGGAGGATAGGCCTGGCGGCCTCCACAGGCCCCGCTGTCGGCAAGGGAAGGTCCAGGCCTTCGACGACCCTATTCTGAGGAACCCTAACGAGTGCCGCCTGGAAAGCCTGGACCCCGTGCCGGCTGCACACGGAAACACACATGGCAAGCGGCTGCAGACGCACGCGCACGGCTGGAAGTGTCCGCGCAGGCTCTGGTAGCACCTTTGGTCGTGAACTGAAGGGGCCTTTCGATGCTGGGAGGCTGTGGCAGGTGAGGTCCTGCCAGCTCCCCCCACCTGCCAGACGGGGGTTAGTAGAGAGGTGGGTGGGGCCTAAAGGAGCGCTTGTCTCCTCCAGAAGTGGGCAGACCCATGCTCTGGGCACTGCCACCCTCTTTGGGCTCCTCAACCTGCCTGGGCTCTGTCATCCCTGCCCCTCCGGCCCCGGCACCTGGAGGAAGGAGAGGATGGTGCCCATGCTGGGAGGGGGTCTCCTCAGGGGCCCCCCGGCTGCCCGGTTAGCACCGAGAAATCAGATGCTGTGCGCGCGAGAGCTGGAAGCAAGCTGGGGAGACAGGGCAGGATGTGGAGGAGGCAGCTGAACCCCAGGTTCTGGGGCTCCCTAGGAGTCACCCAGTGGGCCCCACTGTGCATGGGGAGAGAGGGCCAACGACAAGAGGACTTCCCAGTGCCTCTGCCCCACTCCAGCCCTAATCTGGTCCAGGACTGACCCCACTGGGCTGCAAGGGGTTCCAACTGCCCAACCCATCCCAGGGTTAACATTGAGCCACTGGAAACAAGCAAAGCACAGGCGGGTGTCTGAGGGTGGGGGTGGGAGCAAGAGTGTGGCCTTTGGCAGGAGGGCCCCCCAAAGCCTCCTCCTTGCTGGAGCCCCCTCACTTGCTCACCCCACTGCTGCCACCCCCACCCGCGGAGCCTGCTACCCCAGCTGCCACCTTCTCGAAATCCTCAGGGTTGCAGAACTCCTTGATAGTGACTGTCAGGAGGTTGCTGGTGACATCGGTGACGACCACATTGGAGCAGGGCGACATCTCAGGGCGCCAGTCCCCAGCCTCCGGCTCAGAGGAGGTGCCCGCGGGCTCGGGGGCGGGGGGAGGCTCCTGGCTGGCAGATGGAGTGGCGCTGGGAGGTGCCCGCTTGCTGGTGGCTGCCGACTCGGGAGAGATGGACAGGTCGAGCACCTCCGGCTCTTGCCAGTCGGGGGCAGATGGGCTCATGGTCTCGGGGAGCAGTTTGGGGGGTGAGTCGTCAGGGTCGGAGGACTGTGGGGCTGGCGAGGGGCAGCCGGAGGAGCTGGAGCTGCGGGCATCGTAGGAGGCAGTGGGGGCGGCGAGGAGCAGCCCCGGGGCGGTGGAGGCGGCGAGGTCGGCCTTGCTGGCTGGCGGGGCCGGCAGAGGGCCGGGCGCGGGCGGCTTATTGTACAGCGCGAAGGCGCCGAACTTCATGTGGCGGATCTGCGTGCGCAGGACGCTCTCGCTGAACTTCTTGCTCTTGCCGATGACGCGGTTCCGAGAGGGGACCTTGGGGCGGGCCAGGTTCCCGGCGCCCTGCCCGGCGCCCGCTCCACCGGCGCCCTTGTCGATGACCTTCAGGTTCAGGATGATGCGGTTCCGCTTGGGCTCCCGAGGCTTCACCTTGCGGTTGATGATGCGCACGGTCTCGGAGAAAGGCGAGATGGGCGGGCGCAGGCCCGGGCTGCCCCCCTGGGGGTCTGGGCGGGGCAGGGGGCGGCGGGACATGCGGTGGCAGCGGCGGATGTCCTTTTTGAGCCGGTGCACGGCTGCGCTGGAGTGCAGCTTGGGCGAGGAGGCGCTGGCGCTCGGCTTGACAGAGAAGTGCACATCACTGATGCGGAGGGCCTCGGCCTGGGCCCGCGCCTGTGGGGTACAGCGAGGGGTTGGTGCGGGCCCAGCTTCCTGCTGCCCTCCTCTGGACACCCCTGCACCAGCCACTCGCACAAATGGGCTCATTAAACCACCCTGAGAGCATCAGGAGAATCGGTCTGCTCCTGACCCGTCTTAGAGATAAAGGAGAGAGGCACACAGGCGAGGCATGCGCCCGAGATTCCGGAGGCAGATCGGACCTAGTCCAGCCCCAGCTGCGAGCCCCACACCAGCTATGCGAGCTCGGCTATGGGCCCGGAGGCAGACGGGTGGGGGCTGCCCTTGCTGACACAGGGGTGCCAATGCTTGGGACGCTGCACAGAGAACAGCCTTTTGCTCGGAAGCCCTGGACCAAGCCTGCTCTGAAGGAGCCTGGCCGGGCCCTTCTCCGCGCACCAATTCTTGGGGACGAAAGGAGAGGGAGGCCCCTCCCTCCCTGCTTCGCTCTGCACCCCAGCCCTCGTGACCTACTTGCAGGGTCCCTAATTCCCCATGGCCCCTCTCTGCCTTTGAACAGGCTGCACTCCAGCTGACCACTGCACGGGACAGGCCACTTCCTAGTCTCTGCACTAAAGTGGCGGGCGCAGGGCAGCTGAGCAGAGTTCTGTGGGCAGCTGGCCACTGCAGCCCCAGGCGTGGAGCCTGTTATTCTCCAGCAGCTCACCTGCTACATCGTGGGACACTTGGGCATGGCAGGGCCCCGAGACCCCATGTTCAGAGCAAGGGACTCACAGGCCCATCAGCTGACCTCCGTGGCCCGTCTATCCTTCCTACACTGTGAAGTGCTGACGAGGACATGCCAGCTGCTGGGGCTACAACTAGGAGCGCACGGCCTCCACCCAGGGGGCTGGCTCCTCGGGGAAGACAAGGTACAGGCAGTTAGGCTGCAGGTGACCAGACAAGCAGATAGGGGCCCAGGTCCTGGAGGACAAAGCTGAGTAGGAGAGCCCTGGTCCTTCCTGAGTGACTGGGCCCCAGGGGGCTGCAGAGGCCCCCTGGCCTGCCGACGGGACGCTGCTGTAAGACAAACGGTGGAGGCAGAGTCGGCGGTGAGAGGGTGCGGAGTGGCCGAGGGACTGAGAGCAATGGCTGAAGAGAGGGTGGAGGTGGCTGACTGGTCTGTAGTTCCTGGTGGGGCAGGGGGCTCTTTCAGGGGTACACCCAGCTCCTAGCAGGGCAGGGGACTCTAGGGGGCAACTGCACTCATCCAGGGAGTGGAGATGGTGTGGCCACGAAAAGGCCACGTTCCCATGGTCTGTGAGCTTGCTGGGAGCGGGATCTGTGGTTTGGGGTCCCTTCACCTCACCCCATACCACCACTGGGTGCTTAACCAGCACCTGGGAGGTAGGCTGCACCGCCCTACACAAGACTAGGTTGTGTTTGTCCACAACCCCCAGAAGAGGTGTTTTCTGACTTATCTGCTGAGTAAGGAAGGATGTATTTTTCATTAAAACGTGGGCGTACACTGTAATGCCAGGCCCTCCCAGACACTTAGGGCCTCCAGGGTTGCTTGGTCAACAACCCTTTCAGCCACAAGGTGGCAGCACAGGGAGCCGGCCTGCCCCTGCCAGGGGGACCCACAACTCCTGCTCCCAGCCAGTACCTGGTTCCCATACAGCGTTTCCCAGAGGCAGGGAAAGCACGTAGGGCCTTTTGCAGGGTCAACCCCACTGGAGCTTAGGGATTGTGGTTCTGCCTGATCCCCCTGGGGGTGAGCGGTTTCCCTCTGCATGCCGCCTGAGCTCTTGGACCTCTGTAATAATGGTTCCGACAGAGGCCAGCTGTGACGGACCGTCCCTGGGGAGTGGCTACGAGTGTGGGCAACATCAGCGCCAGGATGAACTCCCAGCTCAGCCGGCCTCCCGGCCTCTTTCCCTATCTGTGCAGTCACAGCGCGCCCACCACAGCGGCTCCTGTGGCCACCACTGTCACCTGCTGAGCACAGTGCCTGGCCTATCAGCTGACCTCGTACCGCAAGTACCCAGTACTGATTTGTCCACGCTTCCCTATGGGCAATGAGGTTTGTCTAAGGCATGGTTCCCAAACTTCCTGCGAGAAACATTTCTTCCTTTATAATTCCTAAATGCTGGATGGGGCTCAGAGTTGTGACTATATGAAAGTTTATTTTTGAATTATTTTCCATATGAACAACTGTAAATCTGCTTTTGCCCCACTATGTACCATTTTCTTTTGAAAAGGGGATTGGTTTAACCTTTCTCCTATTATCTGCCCAGAGTGAAAATTTTTTGTAGGCAGGAACTGGTTCAGCCTTTGATTTAAAAATGGCAACCATAGGCAAGTGTTTATAGCATTCTGACCGGGTGACAGGCCTGGCTCAGAGGAACCCCTCTGGCCTGTTTTCTATGTGTAAGTGGGGATAATGCCATCTACTTCCTGGGCTCCTGTTCCCTTCAAAACAGTTCCCAGCAGAAAGTGCTGGCTTACTACATACACTGCCTCTCAGTGGCTCACAGGGCACGGGTTCCATCAAGCTGATCTCCGTCACCCAACCAGGCCTCTCATCTGCCTCTCCACCCCCGTCCCTTCATGGGTTCCTGTGAGTGCTTCTCCACCTTGCCCCTTACTCTGATGTGTACTGTCTGAGGGGCAGGGTGAAGGACAGGACAGGATGAAGTCATGAAGTTGGGAGCTGGGATCCCCTGCATGGGCCTTGACTTTCTCATCTGTGAAATGGAGATAATACTCCCCACTTCATAGAGTGTTGAGAGTATTAAAGGAGATAATCCAAGTGGGGACTCAGCATTGCATCAGGCCCATAGCCAGCTCAGGAACTAAAACTATTAAAAGAAAAAAAAAGGCATTTTGTGAATCAATATTTTAGTTATTACTCGCTTCACCGCTAGAGGGTGCGCAGCAGCGCGGAGGGGCGGGCACACCAGCCCTCTGGCTGCTCTGCATAATTGCTCCTAAGAAGCATCAGGGGTTAAGGCTGCTTCATGGACCCCCTAAGACATGTGCAGATCAGGGGCCAGGGGTTACAGAAACATGTCATTCTGGAAACCAACATTTTTTTCACTTCTGCTTTAAATCCAAAGCAAATCCTTAAACCAGTCCCCCTTTGGGTGGGGAGGGGAGGCGAGGCTGGGGACGCCCACCCCACTCTCGCTGGGCTTGGAGCCTTTGGGTAGATGGGTGATGCTGGGCTTCTGCGTTCTGCACAACCTCTTCTCTGCAGAGTCCCCACCGCCCTTTCAGTACCAATCGCCACAAGGCGCAGGCTGTCAGGGTGGGAAGGGGCCCTGAGACCATCCTAGCACTAACACAGAGACTGTCGTTGCCCAGGCAGGCCCACTTGCAGCCTTGCCTGCCATCTTGCCTTCCCCTTTCCTGGACGCTGTTCTTTCTCACCAACAAGATAAAATAAAATAAAATATCCCCCAACTAAGATGGCTTCCTCTGGAGCTAGGCCTCCCTCCCTTGCCGAGGCTCATGGGCTACGCGTTCCCGCCCCTGCTCTCCATCCTCATTAGTGCCTCCAGGAACAGCCAGAGGTAGGAAGGAACTGAGGCTCAGAGCCCCGAAGCCAGGGGCCCAGCCTGGGTGATGAACTCAAAGAGAAGCGACTTAAGGTTAAATTCAAGCTGAATCCCTCAGCGAGGAGGGAAGGCACGCAGAACAAATCCTCAGAGAGGGAAGCTGGGGGCAGGTGGCCTCCGAATGCCTCTCCCTGCTCCCTGCCATGAGGGAGACCACACTCACTCCCCCCTGGGTTCTAATTCCAGGCAGGGTGCAAGGGGAGCTGGCTCAAGGCTGGGGGGCCAGGGCGGGATGAAGGCTCTCAGGTGCAGAGGCGACCTCCCTGCCACCAGCTCAGGTGGGCAGCCCCCACCTGCTCCATTCACCCCCTTCCTGGAGCCCTGCTGGCCTCCCCAAACCCTGATTTTGTCAGCGAGGACGATCCCCCTCCTGGCCCCCAACTCCCACAACCCTCCGCTGAAGCCAGAACAGGCCGGGGTCGCTGCCAGGGGCTCAGAGCCACCCCCTGCCCAGCTGGGGCCCGTCTGGAAAGGCCCGCCCCGCCTGGGCGGCCGCCGATCTCTCCCTCCCCGGCAGGCCCCGCGCTGCGCCGGGGCCAGGGGCCCGAGAGGGGGCGGCTGGGGCCGGGCCAGGTTACCTTCAGGAGGAAAGTTTTGGGTTTGGGTCCCCTCTTCTTGGGCCCATACAGCTCACGCTCCCTCTCCCTGCGGCGGAGAAACGCAAAAGGTTAGAAAGAGCCCCTTCCCGGGCCCCTCTCCGCGCAGCCCACCCGGCGCCCCGTTCCCCCGCGCGGCGCCCCAGCCGCGCCCCGGCCCCGCCAGCTCCCCAAACTCACTTCTGCTCGAAGGCGGCGATGAGCCTCGAGTCCAGGATGTTCTCCTCGGGCTCCCAAGTGCTGTACCTGCCGAGTCACACGCAGAAAACACGGATGAGAACCGGAGAGGCGGCGGCACATGCGAGGGGGAAAACGTGAGCGCCCCCCCACCCCCGCCCCGCGCCCCGCGCCCCGGGAAAAAAGGCCTGGCCGACCCTGCCTCCCCTCCCCCTCGCCCCCGGGCCCCGCGACACTCACTTGATGGCCCACCCCTTCCATTTCACCAGGTACTCGATGCGTCCCTGAAAAACAGAGAGAAAAAAAGGGGAAAGTGGGGGTGGGGAGGATGCGGGGACCCGAGGAGGCGCCGGCGCGGGGGTGGGCGAGAGCCCGGGTACCGGGACCGCAGCGCCCCGAGGGCCCGCGGGCCGGCCAGCGGCTGGGGGACACGGCGTCCCGCCCCGGGAGGCGGCTCACCTTCCTGATCCGCCGTTTGATGATGGATTCGGCCGCGAAGACCCGCTCGCCCACTGCAGACAGCTCCATCTTGCTCAGCGGCACCCACAGCCCATAATACTCCCTGCTCCCGCGGCCGGTGCTGCACCGCTCGCGCACGCGCTGCAGCGCACAGGCCCCGGCGGGCGGGCGGGCGCGCGCTCGCGCGCCAGCTGCGGGCCGTCACGTGACCCATCGGGCGGGCGCGCCGTTGCCAGGACTTCCCCCTCCCCCGGGGCCGTTGCTATGGAAAGTGAGAGCACGCGGGGCGGGGGCGCGCGCTGGCTCTTAAAGGGGCCTCGCCGGTCGGCGGGAGCCCTGGCACGGAGTCGGGTGGATGCTGGGCTGGTGGGAAGCTGGGCTTTTGCAGTCCTACATTTTCCGCTCCCCTCTCCATCTTCCCGGCCCGGAGAGCTGACGACGTTCCCCTCCTTTTAACCCTACTCCCCCAAAGCAAGTCTCAATAGGCCCCGAACGGGGCAGGGCGATGGAGTCTGCAGCCGCCGCGCATCTTCCCCCGCAGAAGTTTGCAAACAGTTAAATGTGATGCAGCAGAAATGCATTTGCTGTTGCCTTGCCAGGCCCTGCGGGATTTTCTTTAAAACAGTGCCCCCCGCCTGTCCCCCCCCCCCCTTATCCATTATTTATGTATTCGTGGGAGTGTGGTTTTGTAACCAGTTCAGATGAATTAAAACAAATACGCCACTGCAGGAAAGGGGCGGGGTGGGGTGACTCAGGCCCAGGAAGGCCGGGGTCCTGTGCCTCTGTCCTTAGGCCGAGATCTTGGGCGGCACCTGCCTCCACCCGAGAGGCCGGTGGAGACCGCAGGGAGGACGATGTGCGACACGGGGAGGGACGGAGAGGGCGCGGGGTGAGCACGGGCTCCCCACGCTCCACATGAGCCCGAAGCAGGTCATCCTCGGATTATTCGGTAGAAACCGCCCTCGGGATCATGTCTCTATGTTTTCTGATTCCCAGGTCCCCAGGCCACGCCACCCTCCTGCCTCCCGCAGCTTTTCTAACGACTCCGCCATGACTCTTGGGGAGACCGGACCCCAGCTTCCTACCTGGGGCGGTGCTGAGAGACCTGGGCTGCCCGGGAATGGACACAGAGTGGCCCTGCCACACAAACGCTCCGTTTCTTTTATTTTGAATTATTTAAACTTTATTTTCATGACATCAGCAGTCTTGTTCTTTGTAAATTAAGATAAAATAAGAAAAAAAAGAGCAACTGTCCATAATCTCCACCAAAATGTGTTCCCATCTTCACGAGTCTTCTTCTGGCCTCTGTTCTATGCCTGTATAAACACACGCATATATTTAACTTCTTTTTAACAAAATGGGACCGCACGACTCACACTGTCTGGAATCTGCTTCTCTTCCTTAACGATGTAAAGTAGACGTCTTTTGGTGTCATTAAATACAGATGTCACTACATTTTAGTGGCTGTGGTGGGGCTGAGAAGGAGGTGGAGAGGAATGGGGAAGCGGTAAGGATCAGGGCTGGCTCTTGCTCTCATTACTTGTTTATCAGAGAAGATGATTTTTACATTTCTGTGACGCAACACCAGTTCTTGCGATTTCAGATCAACCACATTAAAATTTCCGCATCGTCTCGTCCCTGCATCTCTGCAGATTTGTCCGATCATTACCTTGGAAGAAATTACTGCCCCCTCCTGCCCCTCCCTCCCCCCCCCCCCCCAATATCAACACCCTCTTGAGAAATAGCTGTTTGCTGGCCGGCCTCAAGTGAGCTTGGGTGTAAGAACAGAGCTGCCCTCCTGGGGGTGGTGGGATGAATGGGCAGATGAGCTGTGTGCACGTGTGTGTGTGTGTGTGTGTGTGTGTGTGTGTTCAGGCTGGGGAGACAGGCAGCTGAATGGAGCGGATAAGCAGTAATCCACTTGTGAGTTCATTCATCGGCGTCTGTGAGCCCCTTTTAAGGCTTTGTGCTAAATCAGCAGAAGCAGAGTTGCCCAGGCTTGAGGTCCTGGTAATGGAAGAAGGGTGCATTAATCCCCTATGACGACCATAACAAATCGCCACAAATTCAGTGGCTTAAAACAACACAAACTTGTTACCTTACAGCTCTGGAGGTCAGAAGTCCCAAATCAGTGTCACTGGGCTGAAGTCAAGATACCCGCGGGCTGGTCCTTCCGGAAGAGAGCCTGCTCCTTGCCTCCTCCAGCTTCTGGGAGCTGCTGGCATTCCTCGGCTCGCGGCCGCAGCTCTCCGGTCCTTACTTTTGCCTCCCCTGACGTGTTGCCTCCTCCTGTTACGTGTGTTACATGCTGCTTCACCCGTGAAGTCTAAATCCATCCCAGACCTGGTCTTGCTCTTTCCTGCTGCCTTCTATGTTTTCCCAGCATGGTCATTCTTTCCAAAGAACCCTGCCTGCTCAGGATGTGCCTGAAATAGGACAGCGCCAATTCCGTCATTTTTGCCTCCAGCGATGTTTCAGGCTTAATTTGCTCTATAATCTACTTGTTTGTCTTTCTGGTGATCAAGGGTATCTGTAGAGCTCTTCTCCAACACCATATTTCAAATGAATCGATTTTTTTTCTATCAGCCTTCTTCACTGTGATAGTGGAAGTGTATGTATGTATGCACATGCCCCCGGCGGCTCATAGCTAGAGAGAGAGAGAGACACACACGTGTGCACACACACACACACACACACACACAGTATATACTTACATGTAAAACTCAGATTTAATTGTAAAAATTGAAAGTGTTTTGGTCAGCCCAGCCAATGTTGCTCAGCGGTTGAGTGTTGACCCATGAACCAGGAGGTCAGGGTTCGATTCCCAGTCAAGGCACATGCCCGGGTTGTGGGCTTGATCCCCAGGGGAGGGTGTGCAGGAGGCAGCTGATTGATGTGTCTCTCTCATCATTGATGTTTCCCTCTCTCCCTCTTCCTTCCTCTCTCTGAAGTCAATAAAAAAATATTTTTAAAAACAACAAAAATAAACGCACGCTTCCTATTTTTTTTTTTTTAAAAAAAGAAAAAGCATTGGTCAAAAATAACACCAAACACTTTACATAGCACTCGCCATGTTTCTCTGAGTCTTCCAAGTGTTGTACAGACCATAGTCACCAATTTAATCCTCAGGACAATCCTACAAGGCAGCTACTGTTATTCCACTTCACTGTTGAGGATACTGGGTTTCTACCCAAACATGGAAGACGCTGAGATGAACGCAAGTTCTCTGTCCATGAGACACCCTTCGTCTCCTCCTGCTGCCCGATGACATCTGCCATGTGATGTCATTTCACTTAGGAAGCTGTGGACAGAAAAGCTGAAGCTGTGCCGTCAGGTGACAATAGGAGTCCCAAAGAAATGGACCAGGCATAGTTCCTTCTGAGCCGTCGTGCTGTGCAACCATGCGCCCCCAGGGAAGGCTGACTATTTTTAGAAGGAGGGCAGTAGAGTCTTCTGGAAATATGCCTGACTACGGCCATACTTGGGCAAGGGACATGGGCAGCTCCAATTCTGGCAGAGGCATCTTTTGGAAAGGCCATTCTGACCAAGTCATTCCTCTCATTAAGACTCTTCCACACGGAAGGAGCTGAAATGTCAGCCGGGGGCGAAATCCCCTCTCAGGGGTCACCAGTGTCTAAGGAGGAAGCCCAAGCTCGTCCTCCCGGGAGGAGGCCTTCCTGATGGTCTCACTCCCAGCCCACAACCCTTTGCATATATTTTTATTGATTTCAGAGAGGAAGGGAGAGGGGGAGAGAGAGAGAAACATCAATGATGAGAGAGAATCATTGCTCAGCTGCCTCCTGCACGCCCCTTACAACCCGGGCAGGTGCTCTGACTGGGAATCGAACAGTGACCTCCTGGTTCATAGGTCGATGCTCAACCACTGAGCCACACCGGTCCCCCCCCACCCACCCATTGGTCTCATGGAAATGCCTGCTGTTTCCTGAATGGCCCCTGCTTTTCCACACCTGTGGCCCTTTGGTTCCCCTGGGGAACACCTGCATGCGATTCCAAACTCAGTCCTGGGGTGTCCTTCAGCATGAAGCCACGCCTGGCTCTCAGGCAGGACTGGCCAGCCTTCTCTCGCCCCCTGTGGTGCTTGCAGAGCTCCGGGGACACAGGAGAGGTCTGGTTGGTCACTGTCCCCTCCTCCTGTAGCAGGAGCTCCCTGAGGGCAGGGCCTCCGATACCTCTCAGCTCCCTGCCACTGGTAGCCACTCAGCTAGTAGTTCCTGGGTGCCAACATGATTCCAGACGCTGGGGACATGGCAGAGAAAGGACAGATCCCAGGCCGCAGGAAGCTCAGATTCTTATGAGGACGCAGACAGACAAGGAACACACAAAACAAAAAGATGATTTTCAGGCCGGATACGTGTTATAGAAAGACTGAATAGGGTTTTTATAACCTATGGGTGGGGTGCTCAGCTGGGTCAGGGCGGGTTGTTTGAGGAGCCACATCTGAGCTGAGACCTGCACCAGGAAAAGGAGTCAGCTGCCTAGATGTGGGAGGAGAGCTTTCTCAGCAGCAGGGGCAGCAAGTGCAAAGGCCCTGGGCACGCTCGGCAGGCCTGAGGGAGATCAGTGGGGCTGGGATGGAGGGTGGGGAGCCTGAGGTCTGCAAGGCGGGCAGGGGCCCACGTGCAGGGCCTCGCAGGTCGTGAAGGAGAGCGAGGGCTCTGTGCTCGGGGCAGAAACGAAGCTCTGGGAGAGAACTCGCCACAAGAGGAGAGGGCGCCGGGTAGGGTGAGCTTGACCGAGAGCCAAAGCGGTGGATGGTGGAGAGGTCCTGAGTGCCCGCGGCGGCTGCTTCTCAAGCCTGCCACGGCCAAACCTCCTCCGTGGATGTCCAGGAGGCAGAAAGCTGCAAATAAAAGTGGAAAGAGCCCGGCCAGTGTGGGTCAATGGTTGATCATCAATCTATGAACCAGGAGGTCACGGTTCGATTCTCGGTCAGGTCAGGACACATACCTGGGTTGCTGGCTCCATCCCCAGTAGGGGGCGTGCAGGAGGCAGCCGATTGATGATTCATCATTAATGCTTCTATCTCTCCCTTCCTCTCTGAAATCAATAAAAATATGTATTTTTAAAAAATGTGTTAAGATAATGGGGGGACAAGGGGACATATGTAATACTCTCAACAGTAAAGTTTTTTTTTAAAGTGGAAAGAGCTAGAATCTCC